ATATCCTTGTACGTTTGTATTAAATCTGTTTTTGCATATATTAATGAATACACAATTTCTGGAACGGTTTGTTATGAATTAAATTAAGTGGGGTTTTATTCTATGATTCACTCGTTGAAAACTACGTGCTTCAATCACTGAGCCATTGTCCTATTTGTGATAATACTCAGCACTCTTTGCCTTTTTTAGAACCTTAGCTCCAATATTTCATTACACTTTTGCTTCTCTCTTTTTCTGTACCTAACCTCTTCCATATGATATGATGTCAATCTATGGACAGTGACTGTTAGTTGATTAAAGGAGTCAAGGTAACTAGAGGGAATGGAAAATATGAGTTATGTATATACATGACAGGAAATAATAGAACCAACTTCATTATGAATCTAAACGTATGTCGTACAACTAAAAGACAAATAAAAACGGGATTATAGAATGGGCAAAACCATACTTTGAGGATGAGTTCAAAATAAGCGCGACAAATTTCCGGCCGGTTTTTAACCAGTCAATCAGAAAGGGATGGTTTATGGAAAAGAAAGCAATAATATTGAAAAGTATAAACAGACTTTACGGTTGGTAAATCTATTTATATCTTTTTCAGGCTGCTCTGTTCATAAATGAAAGAACAACGAAATTTAAATTCTTCTGAATGGATATAGATCTTCCGTATAAGAACCCAAAAAGATTTATAAGAGGCCCTATATTGTTTTAAGTTAGGGTTAGCTATTTAGGGTAAGTAAGTATCATTACCAAGGTTTAACCTGATAATTTCGAATAAATTGAGCATTGGGTAGATTGTTATAAATAAATTAATATATTTGTAATATTCCAATGAGTAGAAAAATTAAATTCTTTGACGTTTCGTGACTTAGTGTAAACCACTTCTTCAGAGAATAAATAACCAAATTAAAATAATCCTAAGTTTAAGTATTACAAAGGAACAACACAAGAATATAAACTTGGATTAATTTTGATTTGGTTAGTTATTCGCTGAAGAAATGGCTTACACTGAGTCACGAGACGTCAGAAAATGTAGTTTTTCTACTCGTTGGGATATTACAAATATATTAATTTATTTATTTAGGGTAAGGATTGGATGTTTAGGGTTAATAATTTATTCCCGAACTGACATCAGCTATAATGTTAAAGTTCGCTCGTAAACACGAGGCGCTATCTTATTGGTTAATCCATAAAACATTGCCACAAGATTAATGTTTGTTTCAGGATCAAGTATTCAGGGTGAGATAGAATTAGGCATTTACTACACTTAACAATATCATATCGAGTTCGACCAAATATCATTTTAAATCCATGATTACAAAAAATAATCATTCGCAATCCTGTTGGATGTTTTGAACACTATACAAAGGTATTTTTACTGCTTGTTATACATGGTACTTGAATCTCAAGCAAAAACTTAAAAGTTGAGTTTTCGATTCCAATTGGCTTATCTGTAAATCATAATTTTACCATAGAATGAAACATAGACAATGTTAGTCAATTCAATAATGAATTTAAAAAATAAGTTACAAGATTAGAATTAAGCAAATATCGAATGTCACTTTATGATTAACGGTTGTGCAAATGATTTTCATTGTTGGGACCCTTTGATAATTGTTTGAAAAAGTTTACAGCAGCTATGGAAGATGATGAAAACACTTCGATTAATCTGTGCTAATTAGGAACTTACAGAAAAAAACTTATAAAGTGGTTGAATGTACTTCCTTTATAATGATTGGACAAATGCTGACTTTGTTATCAACTTATGTATAATTCCGTATAACTATTATCGCCATTTTGTACATAAACAAACTTTGGGAGTAAGGCTTTTCCAATGTTTCCCGCCTTCTGCTTTTTGTTCAGGGTGAAATAACTCTGGAGTCTAGGATACAACTAAGATGTGTTTTTGAACAAGTATATAACAAGTTCACAAGATAAACAGTTGATATTTTGACCAAGTACACTGATACACACATACATATATGCGCGCACAATAATGAACGCATTAAAATAAGGCTCGGATAGAAGTTGTAGAAATGTATAACTAGTAAACTGAGACAAGCAAAAACTACGTCTCAAATGACAAGTTAGGTAATTACCTAGTCAAGTGTAATTTATTTCACATTTTCCACTATTATTATTATTATTATTATTGTCATCGTCTGGGTTTGCTGCATCACCGTTAAATAGATAGTTTACTGATTAGATTACACCTACCAATGAATCATTGACTATACAAAAAGATAATCGCAAGAAAAAAAACATTCAAGCGATGACGAGGTAAAAAGTAGTAAAAATTACACTTTCCCACGAAAAGCAAATATGAAAAGTACACATACACAAGACCAATAATCAATCAACTGAGATGCTAACTATACCATTGTTACTAATGTAAACAGTTTTTACTTAAGTTAAATACTGAAAATTAGAAATGAATACAAAGGATGAGACATTAAATTACTTGGAATAGATTTGATTAACAGTTATATCTGTATGTAATCTATTCATCAATAAACACCCAAACTGAACTTCTAGGTATGTTAGTTACTACTGGAACTAAAAAACGACCAGTCGCATTGTGCACTTCAGTTACTAATATATGATGAGGGTTGTGATCTCCTCATAAGGAAATATACAACAATACACCACAGTATTCATTAAGTGTTTCATCATGAATTTCTGACTGCTACCAATTTTTATCGCCGGGATAGATTACTCTTTTCATTTACTGGTGCAATCTACTGTTTTTATGTTTTCGAAAAATAGAATAGTTATGAAAAGATGATATAAAATGTAAAACAACGAAGCAGCTGAACAGCTTAACTTCTGAGAACGTCTAAGGAAATGTGAGAAAAAAACGTATCTTTCCAGAAATAGGGATTGTTTTGAATGAGGGCAGGATTGGTATAACCTTAAACTGCAAATGGTATAAACGCCTTATAACTTGAACTCGTATATTATTAGTCACATTGGTTGTATGGAGATTTTCTTTTTTTCGAAAAGTAATTTTCACCGCGAAATGAGATCGATCAACTGAAGACGCTTAAAGCTACTGGTTAGCGACCTATGGCAATCTGGGCCATCTTTGATGCCTTCGTGATGTTAGTCTAGCTGTAAAACGTGGGATCTACAACCGACCAGTGAGAGTGCAACGCACGAAGACTTTAGTAGAGTAAATCAGCTATTGTGTTAAGCAAAATCACACACTGCATCTTTAAAATATGAAGACAATACATTAAAATACATCGTTTTCACATCATTGCATTGTTTCTTACGAGCTTCATCGTTTTTTTAAATTCCTGTTGCTACTTGGATTGATTGTTTTTTCTCTTCCCCTCATGTTCCCCTTCCGTCAGTAAGAATCCTACTTCAAATTCTTGACACATTTTATTTATCGGTCCGTATAAGTAGGATACACTACAAGAGCAGTTTTGCTCTATGCTTTTGAGACCTGACCTTTCCGAGTTGTGAATGTTAAGCACCTGTGTGTTTGATCATCCTTGTCTCTGGACTATAACTGATATTCAGTGACATTATGTTAGCAGTGTGGAGGTTAGGCAACGTGTGTTCGGGAACAGTGACGATAGTTCACTTTGGTGCCTCCACCTTGAAACATCGACTTCGGTGACTTGTACATGTTCTACGAATGTCGTTCCAGAAAATTCCACATTGTGCATTTTTAGTCGATGCTGGGACTGGTTGTAAAAGTGAAGAGGGGATCATTATATGACCATGGTGTCATGGTATCGAAAAATGCTGTGAAGGACTGGCATCTGTTGGTCCTTCAAGACTCCCTGGTTGGGGTCCTAGAGATAGTGCAACACTGCGGCTTGAGATGTTATCAGATATGGCTCAGAATATGAGCCAGTGGTGGTCGTGATGTAACCTTTTCCTTGTAAGTGAGCGTAACTTCTTTAACTGAGAGGATTCTTTATGGTCGTATTTTTCGTAATTGAATTGCTTCTCTCATCATCAATATTATTAATATTTCACTTTCATACACTAATCTATTTCCAATTTTTGTTATTTTTTTCATTATACCCACCTTTCCTCCGCTGTCCCTTCACAATCGCATTTTTATTGTGTGGTGGGTGAACATTTTGGTGCCCCTCTGTACCAATATTTATGTGTTTAAATAAAAAAAACAAAATGTTGGATAACATTGTAGCAAGCTTGATTATTTTACATAATATTTTCTACGGAATAGTAAAGATAAAGATGAAAGTGATTAGGCAAATTAGCTTTACTTTCAAATAAATGAGTATAATTTATGTTGGATTACAGAAATTCACCAAAAAAAGTGAGATCAGGAAGTAAACTATGAGTGTATTAAACAATACCAGGTTGGTAGAAAAAAAAGTTACATATTTTAGTGTAAAAAAATATGATCTGTTTATGTAATGTGTAAATAAAGATCATATGATTTACATAAGATTAAAAGTATTTCAGATTATTTAATCAACCAGTCAATCAATAATAGTAACATATCTTTATAGATAGTGGATCCAGGATGCACATTTTGCCTAATTAAGGATTCGTCGGGTAAGAATGTATTTGTAACGCAATTTTGATGTTTACACTGAGACTCGATAAAATTTGATTAGCAGGAAAATATAAACAATAATAATAATAATAAATATTACATCATGTGAAGTCGATTATTATCTAGGCTCCAACTCAGTTATTAAATGAGTTGGTATTTGGACCGATGGATAGGTATTGGGGTTCAAGATTTCAGTGTGGATGTCAATTATGGGATACAGGTTCATTCCAGCTAACAAACCCCAAATAAGATGAACTTGAAGGATTCGACTACTAAAATATTGGAGGTTTCGTGGTCTCTGAGTTGAAATGTTTAGTTGTGAGGCTTTCTTTGTCCTAATGATGCTATTTTTAGACGAATGACAACAAAAGATTCCAAATTAACGTATCTATCTGGCTTAGAGAACATAAAACACTTCTAATAAAACGATAGAAATACTTTAAAATACGAAAAAACTTACTGGTACACGTATTCCAGATGGACTATTTGCTTCTGGTTGAATTTGAGCTTTCATTGAATCTACACATTGTTTAAATTGATTGATAAACTTGAAGAATAAAGAATAGAAAAGAAAAAAAACAACAGAACAACAGTAAAACAAAAGCTGATGAAAATACCGTTAGGTGTCATTGTTTTTTTAAATAAATATTTTAAGTCAAGTAAAAAGGGACTTGAAAATCAATCTGGGACAAAATGACATTTTGGAAGTTCACAGTGTCCAGTGAGATTTAACAATTATTCCTTTAGATATATCAGAATCTTCAATACGAACGTCAAGACAGTTTCACTGTACGGGGCTGAAACCTTGAGAACTACTACAAACATCATCAAAAAGTACAAGTATTTATAAACAGTTGTCTACTCAAGATACTCAACGTCCATTGGATGGATACCATCAGGAACAGCCTACTGTGGGAGAGAACAGACCAGGTCCCATCTAAAGAGGAACTTAGGAAAAGACGTTGGATGTGAATAGGACATACATTGCGGAAATAATCAAACTTCAGCACGAGGCAAGCGCTAACTTGGAGTGCTGAAGGGGAATGGGAAAGAGGAAGATCAAGGAGCACATTGCATCAGGAACTGGAAGCAGACATCAAAAGAATACATAGCAACTGGAAAGGACCACCCAGAACAGAGTTCAATGGAGAATGCTGGTGGGCTACCTATGCTCTTCCACGAGGGGTAACAGTTGTAAGAAGTCCTGGTAATAGCGATTAGGTGTATATGGAATTTCCGGTTAGACTACACTGCTTTGTGAATTATTAAACGATTGAGTTATTCTACACATGAACAGTTTTATTGTGGGCTCGATAAAGTCAGCTGGAATATAACACAAGAATTAGACGAGATGTAGGAAAAACTTAATATTCAAGTAGAACAATTTGGAATGGTACAATTAAGCATATATAATAATGAAAGTGTGCAGAGAATTAGTGAATTAAGAATAGTGGCGAATAATCAGAAAAAGATAAATTCCGTGCGAAAAATCCAACTGAGAAAGAAAAGCATTTATGATTATTGTTCTTAGTGAGGTCTTGGGAATATTAACAAAATTTGAGTAATTTTGTGATCGCCTCAGCATATATTTAAAAAAAACCCAGTTTTACAGATAATATATGAGTATATATTCCACTAGAAATGTGATCCAGTCTGTATTTTTAATGGATAAAATGATATGAAAAAAAATTCACTTAACAAAACATAATCCAACTGTTGAAATGGATGGTTTGTAAAACACTGATAAAAAGTAACCAACAGTTCAAACTACCTTACTCATTTACTATGATATGAACTATGTAAAATTTTTAAAAGAAATAGGATAGAATAGATTCCCAGTATGAAAAATAAACAATTCCAGGATTTTTTCCTTTAAAACATGATTTATTCAAACCAAGTGCAAGTTTACTTACTGGACTTTAAACTAAAATGTTTGTGAATGAGGGCTAGTGTTACTAAGCCGATATGATGAGAAAGCCTAACCATTTGATCATCTATAACATTTAATCATATTATTCTATTAAATTAAAAAAAAACTATTTCTACTGAGCAACTATCTTGTCGTGGATGCGCACTGCTGAGGAGTCCCATACTAGGACGAAACGGCCGTCCAGTGCTTCCAGGTTTTCCATGGTGGTCTAGCTTCAATTGACTTATGATGTCAACCAGTGAAATTTCTAGAAAATCTCCACAAAACCCATTCTGATACTTATAATATTAGTTTATTTAAGAGATTAATTGAATAAATCAGTCTCATGAACAACTCACTACTCATCATATATCGTATTATAGCATATCATCAATTGTTGATCAATATTCTTTGTTTATTCTTTGTTTACATTTTAACAATTGAACATTACTTCATAAAATCATCAAATCCTATTTCAATAATATAAACAGTTGACTAAACTGAATTTAATAAAGTGGAATATGAACTTGTGAAATTTAAATGCATTCAACTTGAGGGTTACTAGTTATTACTTCATAAAATGTACTTGTCGATAATGTTAGGGATTGGTTATGTAATATTTTAGGCACTAACAAGAGTTGAAAATTTTTAAGATTTCGGACTCAATGATGATTAGGTGTTTAGTAAACAAGTCTTAAATACACCAGAAAAGTTAATATTAGCAGAAGTCAAAAACGTCATCTCTTAACACTAACGATAATTTTTTAAAATATGAAAAAGTAAGCGATCTAATAGTGTCTGAAGATTATATTGACTTATCAGCTACTAATACTAATACTAATAATAATTAAGAAAAAACAACTTTATATTAATCCTTAAATCATGATATAAAATAACAACGTCCAGTTTATATACATACATATTATTCAATTAGTTAACGTTCTATCACTATTTAACTCCACCTGTAGCTCTTCTAGAGTTACTGCCGGTCCCAAGCCCGGGTAAAGAAGGGTTGGGGTCAGTAACCCCAGCTCATAAAAAGCAATCTTGCTAAAAAGCGCTAAACAGAATTATATCACCATATATCACCAATTGGGTATTCATTCACATCGGCTTGCGTTTAAAAATACACACTGAAGTTTGAACATATATAAACGAAGCAATACCCACCACAAGATATCTGTGTTTTAAAGAAATATCCTATATCAAATAGTTAAATTAGTTAGTTTTAATCTAAACTTGTTATTAAAACGGGTTTAACTAAGCAAACAAAAGTTAAGGTAAAGAACAAAGTACAAAATGAAGGAAGAGACTCAAACAACATTATTTCATCTACTCTGATTTGAACAACTTGGTAGTATCGGTGTGCTATACATGGAAAATATGACCTGAAGCTCAAACATATAAATCTGTACTTGGTAAATGAGTTGTAGAAAAATTAAGAATTAAATAACTTTGTTTATTCATTTGAAATTGAGTTTAATTACTATTAGAAAAGATTAGTTACGCACCACTTGATAAGTGTAGGTGAATCGAGGGAAAAAATAGATAAAGAAACTGATGTGAGAAAAACTATGTTGTTGATCGACGGATTTAATCCTCTGAATAGTTATGAATATTTACAAAACAGCAGTTTCAAATTAAAATTTAAAAGGAAATAAAGAGTGAAATCATCTGCTTATTAATGACTAATTTCAGGGGATAATTCCCGGAGTTCTAATAGGAAGCCGTGACTAAAGGAAAACAGCCATGTACAATATGAGGCAGCTACCTACCGATGACATTGGAAGATGGTTACGCAACATTGTGAGTTGATTGACGTGAGAAGTGTAAACGATTGGATCCTGACTCATTAATCTATAGATTAAGAGCTCACTATGAGATGTGAAGATCATGGTTGCGACCCCGGGGATATTTCATGAATGAGTAGTAGGAAGAAAGAGTTGTTCAGTGCATCTTGGCTTTTAGTGGTTATTTAATTAAGATGAGCCCGTTGTTTAAATCATAAAACAATAGGCCTAACAGTCACTGATGTTTAAATATTTATGTTTTTCTGTAAAATGGATTGTTAGTCAATTCGATAAAAAGAGGAAATAGTAATTGGTATTGGTTAAATTGCTTTAGACAGAAACATCGACTATAGTTTAGTTATCAAAGTTATTCGTCTTAGAAATACTAAATAATTTACAATTTTATCTTTATTATTATCGTGTAAATTTTACCTTTTAACGACTAGCATATTTATCTTTCTAGTACTGGTTGATAGCAGTCAAACCGAAACTTGGTAACACTTCATGAAACTACTGACTTAGATTGTGTTGTGATGATACTGATAGACTAGATGAGTACAGACGTCATGTGCCTAAGCTCATATGCCATCTGAGGCTCAAATGGTAGGTTAGAAATTATAAACAACGCATTCTATCGAATGAGTTAGACTACACACCTACACCATAATTCGGTTTACCACTAAACCATCCTACTTATTTCATTTTTCTCACCTTATTTAGTGTATTTGGTATAATTTAGAAAATATATATCGTAAATGAATCAGACATCAGAAATCAACAGAGGCTGTCACACAAGATAATCATAATTTATGATGCGTGAACACTAAATCAAATATTTCAAAATTAGTTAGAATGAAGCAAATATATTTATCACTTGGATTGTAAATTTTAATTCCAACACTGTTTATTGCACTTGTCTTTCTCAAAACATTACTAACCCTCCATTTTTTTAAACATTATTAGTATTATCAATAATTAGACTTTCAGTTTTATATCAGTATCTATATGCTTATGATTGATTGATTGCTCTTGAACGTCACTCACTAACATGATAGGCAGCTGGAGGTAGTCAACAGCAAACTCTGCAGATCAATCGCAGCTCAAATGGCTTAATAACAGTATTTCCTATCGACTATATCACACCAACAAACATCCCAACATGGTGCACGGGCTGCCGAGTCACTTAGACTAGTGGTTATATTGGGACGTGATCGACAGATTCCGATCAGTTTTCAGGGCATTGGCCACTACTACTTAGTGACCAATCACTTGTAAATGTTAGTAATATGTTTCTGTAACCGAGACCAGATAAAAGGTTTAGAAATACAACCCAGTTATAGAGAATGTGGCAGTCATAGGGAGGTTTTAATGAATTACGTAATGTTTGGTGTGATTGAGCATTCATATTGAACAGCTACAGGTTTACATCAATATTTTTTTTCTTCTTACCAGGTGCTACGCTGCTTAGGACAGTGTGTGTTGTGTATATATGCCATATTTTTCTAAAAGAAAGAAACGAACTGCAGGGAAAAAATACAAATTACTAAGGCCAGTGACTACATTTTGAAATAAATATGATGGCTGATTTGAAAAGCACGAAATTATGAGACGACGTAAAACTAATGTCAAACTACCGACAACAGTGGGAAAAATTCAGTAAATAATTTATAATGAAATATCATTCATATTTTTAATAGTATTTTGCACACTGGATGGAATAGAGAGAGGGAACAACTTAGGATGGGTATTGATTTTGAAGATATAAGTGCGTTCGAGTGTAGATGACGCCAAAAAGTATGGTATTTAGGTATGATCATATATATATATATGTACGCACAGGGACATATATGTGGATTCCTTGTTTATATAAAGTCTGAAAATCTGTATAACTTGTTTAGATAGCGTCAACCTGGATTATTGCCAATTGGAAAAAAATCAAATGGTCTAATTGGTCATTGGGGTATTGGTTAAGCCAAATAAAAATGTAAGTGATAATATGAAATCAGGCATTTACAAATGAAAGCATTTATAGAAAGAAAATCTGGAACGAAATTCAAAGTGGACAGATAATATTTATGTATCCCGTTTTTCGCGTGATATTTAAACAAGACAATGGCAGTAATAAAAGATACCGAAAATAAATAAAGTGGACCAAAGGTGAAAAGAAAGTAATTGTTTGATAAAATGAAGAACTAACATCGATTAACTGTGATTCATGTGCGTTTAGACCTTGCCAGCTACTACCTGTTTTTCGATCAAGGATGCTCTTCTGTGACTTGATTTAGGTAGAAATGAGAGAACAAGGTAGCTGGATAGATAAGGATAATAAAATTTTAATCAACGTCTTTAAGAGTGACTGGAATCTATCGATAAAGTCTTTGGTGTGCTCACCACGTTACGTGACTTGATATTATAGAGGAATTTGTTTGATGTCATGGATTTTGTGGTGGTAACCAAGTATAAACTCTGGATCTAGGTTTTATACTGATGTGAGCTATCAACAATATAGATCCGGAATTAAAAAGAATCGAAGATACTGATACTCCACAAATAACCTAATACGCCATGGTAAGCAACTTTACCACTGAACTAGTACAGTTGCCACTAATTATATATAAGTTCGAAACTCCTTACCGATTACCTTCAAATGGGTAACCGAATCTAAGTGATATTATGCTATGTTGAATCATCTCCTAGTGCAATGAAGCGCATAACAAACTTAACCAATGGGAGTAGATTAGTGTTAAATGCTAAATTTTTTACACTGTTTTAGACTTGATAATTAGATTAATTTTATATTTCACTATTTTAAACAGTTCTAACTACTACGAACTACATCAAGAGTTTATTTTAAGTAAAAGTTAGTTATCCAGTAAAATCATTATCCTTTTAATTGTTGAAGAACTCTATTTCTGTAAGCATTATATATATAATGACCAGTCTAAACTTTTTACATTTGTGTGCAATGTATATGCGAAGCTAGATAAATGATGTGCATTTATTGGACATAACAATCTTTGTGAAAAACAGTCAATGAAATCCATGAACTAAGTACAGTTGTACGAAAAACAATAGTTTAACCAGAATGTTTAAAATTTAAGTAACGACAGTGCGTTGTGAAATTGTGGTTGAATGAAAAAACTATAAAATTATGAAATCACATTGAACTAAAGTTCTATTCTACACATACCACCGAACTCACTGAACATTAATGATCCAATGACAGGATCGATATGCGAGCAGTACTTAGCATGAAACGGAGATCAACTCCCTCGATTTCTTGTTAGTTGAAAATTAGAGTATGTATCTTACAAATTTTCAGGTTATAAGTAGAAGAGATAATAATAATAATAATAATAATAATAATAATAATAATAATAATAATAATAATAATAATAATAGGATAAGTTCCAAGATTTGAAACAATCGCTGATTTTTCGTAGGATTACGACTCTCAGCAATCTATGATTGTTTGGACTGTAGTTGTTATCTTAAAGCAGGGGTCTGAGTTTTTTCCGAGAACCAAATAAAATCATATCAGTTAGGAATCTTAGTCTTTGAGGGTTCACTATAAAAATTATCGGGTTAAAAAAACTAACTAGAAGAATGAAGATATGAGAGGGAATTCACAATGCAGACTTTAATGGCATGTAGTAGTGATAGATGTTTTCCATGGATAATCAACATATTCAGCTATACTACCATTGGGCAATACCGGTCTTAAAAATAGTAAATCCTTTGCACCGCACATTTTAGTGGTAATATATAAGTTTTATAAAAGTAAGAAGCTAATGTTACACAAATAATTATATATTAGAATCCCTCTCATATGAAATTAACAAAATGTATATAACCCAAACCAAAAAATTTAACTTAAATATGAATTGTGACACTTGACAATTATTCCACTCAATCAGAACAGGGGCAACTACTGAAGTTTTTGAAATCAAATTTTAGTGTGATTTATAAGCTGTGTCAATGAAATTAGTGGGGGGGACCGTGTACTTTGTGGTATTACAAGTAGTATTTTGCAGTGGGGAATGTACAGAACTGTAATTCAACATTTGGTGTACCGGATTCGTAATTATCAGATCATATATTGTTAATCTACATTACCCAGTTAAATTCAGCTAACCGCAAAATATTCATACGATTTACACAACAATCATTACACATGAAACTATTTATGGTTATTCAACTCTTAAAACTATTTAAGTTCTAAACCTTCCAATCACCTGAGGAGTGTCCGGGATTTCCTATCACTTGAAATGTCTGACTTTTATTATATTTCCTGACAAACTATTAACAACTATTTTTTTCTAGATAAAATAATGATAATCAACTTGACGTTATAAATGGTACGACCTGAAAAGAAGTTGAATACAAAACAATATCAACAATTTAACCTAACATTTTAAGGATAGTACCTTATGCAAAGTCAACAGAAGTGATTCACAATTATCGATCATTAATTCAATTCCTATTGATACACTGATTTTAGTTCGATGTTTAGATATGATTTTATAATATATAAGCCAGTTTGTAGTTCAAGGGTACCATATATTTTATAAGTAAACAAAAGGTATCGAAATAATGAGAAATAAACTCCTGTACACTTTTTTAAAACTTACCATGGTTAAGTCTGCTTCTGAGCTGAACCCCAAACCATGGACTCCACCAGTTTTCGAATCAGCCCATTGTCCGAATTTTTGTGAAGTCTTCTTGAATGTCATTTTTTCCGTCAATGTACTGTTAATAATAACCTAAATTAGGGATATTTAAATGTTAAAAATTTATATGTGCTTATCCAACGATTGTTCTGCTACTAAGTTGTATAGACCGGAATAGGTGGTTGTTTTAAAAAACTATGGTTAAACCCATGAAGCAAACACTTAACCCATAAGGTGACTGTTAAAAGTTGTATTTATGCGGTTGTCGGTGATCAGAATAGCTTGGTGCTTTATTCATTTCTTTAAGATATTAAAACCTTTATGCACTGATTGGAAAAAAGTTTCCCAACTCCTTCTTGACAGACTATTGATCAAATTTAACCGTTTAACATTTTCCGTTCTCAAACAAAAAACATTGACTCCATATGAAGACGACGAATAGAACTTTAATGATATGGGTGACAACATCCTGCTATATGAAAGTATCTTTATGGAGGTAGAGGACCTTACCCACCCTCAATAATGCTAATGATTAAATTACTCTAAAGTGATTGTTTGAAGCTTTCTCTATCTGGCATAGATAGTACCTAATAGCACAAGTTTCTTGGTAGTACATATGTTTTAAGTGATTAACGGTACTAGAAAAACTCATTTGAAATATATACAGGTTCAAATTTTAACTATTACTACACTAAGAAAATCTTGAAAACGTTTATGTTTCAAGAAGAAAAAAATATATAGACAGTCAAAATATTTTTGATGACTATACGTAATGTTATTATTTAGATACGTAAATAGAAACGACGAACTTCACACCATATTTTTTTATCTTCATAGGTGAGTGGTTTTTTTCAGCAGAAAAACGACTTAACCGTGACTAAAATTTTACACTAGACAAACTTACGTAGATTAACAATGTTATTTATCATCTACTTAGTAGTACTAGTATCAAAATTTGACGATATTTTAAACTGGTGAGTGTAATGACGTTTTTTAGTTTAAAAAGAATGATGATCGAACGTGAACCAAACGAATATACATCTTTTTTTACTTGTATTTACATCTACCTGTTTTTTGAGAAGCCGAATCCTAGACAAAAATCACACAACAAGATGAAATCGGGCTAAAAATATCCCATCATAGTTTTATTTTCTCGGAAAATATTTAAATTTTCCAAATTAGTAATTTCAGTTATTTCAGATAAACATGGTAAATTACTTTAATTGGTCAGTCTGAGTGACTCGCTAGAGAGATGTTGATTCTAGAGTGTAATCTAGAACTGGTCTTGACAAATCCCTAGTCTAACTATCTGAAGTGAAGTAATCAGTGTGTTAGTCTTATCATTTAATTCATGCCAATCAAACTTTGCGCCATGTTCCACTCGGTTATTAATCATTGGATCTACAGTCACAACTCATTCTGTCCAATTCATTCTGTACAGTGTTGTGCCACAATTGGTCTTTACTACATACTTCACTCAAACAGTGTATGGCCTAAGATCTATGACGCTTAGATATACCCGACTAAAGATCTTATCACTTACTGTGGTTAGTGTTATTGATTTTAAATTATAATAGCGTATTTAATGAAATTCTAATCACCTTTTTTGAACCAGAAGAATCTTCAACACTAATTATTCGATAACAGTGTTTATTGGAGTCATAAAAGAAGTTAACATCGACCGCTTTACTGCTTGACGGAATCCATGACTTCTTTGTTTGAGGGTTAATTGTAAATACATGGGCTTGACAAGTGAAAATCGGAAGTTCACTGTAAAGTAAAAAAAACACAATCAGAAAACATATCGGACTCAAGATATTTATAAATAATACTACAGATTTTATGGAAATAACAGAAACTTGTCCGTAGGAGTAATGATTTGTGTTTTTGACAAACAAAATCCTCAGCAGACAAAAAAAGGCTCGAAGTGCCGCGATTTTCAGGGTGGTATTTTGCTTGAACAGTTTATGAGTCAGCTCAAATCTCTCCAACAGGCTTCAGAACACAGATGTATTGACCAAGGATTCATAATATCTGCATTTCTTTGTATAAAGTAGAGATCACTTCCCCTCGATGTTAAAGTGTTATGACCAGCTTTTGATATGTATATTGAGGGGGAATATCTCTTCCTCGATAACGTCTAGCCCCAAAACTTTCGGTTATATTAAAATTGATAAAACGATGTGAAACAGAATTGGTGACTATTCAAGAAGAATGCCTACTTTCATTATTTCTGTTCGAAATTGCTATAAGCATTTTCAAGAACCGGAGAAATACTTCTTGCTTTTCAGAGACTGATTCAGTAAGAGTATACAGGCCATATATTAGTTTTAGAGGATGATGCAACTTTCTAATATATCAGGCACTAACAGAGCTGGGTTTGAATGTAAAAAGAATAGAAAAACTTACACCTTGTGAAAAACCGAGACTATGAAAAAATAATAAATAATAATAATTATTATTTTTATAAGCACTGCGCAGAGATTTTGCTACAGCATAAATGATAGATTACCTTAGAAAAGGTAATGTTTTCATAATACTTTGACAAGATAAATATAGTGGAGAAAACCCCCTTTTATTTACAGGTACGTCCATCCTTTTTAACCTGTAAACTGAAGTCAGTGGCCTCTTGTTAACCTGAATATTATGAAAGGCTAACCAAACTTAACCCCAGGAAACCAAAGAACCAGGAGATATGCGTACAAGGCTACAATTGAAACGTAGGTCCTTCACTGACACACGCATAGACCTTTCGTTAGTCTAGAGGGGCTAAGGAGGCGAACACAAAAACGTACCACAAGTTCGGTTTTTAGAAAAGTTTTATTCAGCAAATTTCCGTCCCTTAGTGCTTAGCTAACTCAGATGTCGGGATTTTGAATACTATTTGTCAGAAAATCCTCACGTATTTTGCGAAAACTATGTGAATTTTGCAAAGGCCTGAAAGAAGACTTACTATCGATGTGAGCTTCCTTAATTTGATAGGGTCTTTAATATAGTAGCATATTTTGGTAAGTAAATCAAGCTTTAGGATCAGGAACAATCCAATCATAAAGGTAAATAATTCTTAGTCGGACGGTGATAATGAATTGAGATTGACGGCAACCTGTCTGTCCAAAAATAAGTATCAGCCAAAGTTCCCCAAGCTAAGTTCTTTAAGGCAGTAGTAACGCTTCCATACGTACAAGACCTCCACCATATTATGACATTATTTTATTGTGTACGGTCAGCATCAGCATAATGTGACACAAAATGGGAATATTAAATAACTTATGAGAGATCTGGATCCAGTATCTACATTTTCTGATGACTGGGCGATGTTAGTAATCACTATGATTCATACCGATTATTAAAGAATGGGCAAATGCACACCACATAACGTTGACTTATTCACAGTGCAAACACGATGGTCGAATAGTTATTATTAATCGAGGCCTTAAAAACGATCCGCTATACATTTTGTTTGTTAGCCTGAAACTATAGTACAATAAATGATCAGACATAATTTATCTGACAAGTGGGAGCTCTTGGAAACGACAAAAGAAGACCGACTTTATCCTAGAAATCCTTAAGTATGATATAGCCACGTCCAATCGAATAATTCTATTCCATACATCGTAAACAACTGTTCACAGACTAAAGATTCAAGGGAAAATAATATCAGCGACAATCACTAAAACAACTGCTAAAATCAATATTGACTTCTTAGTTAGTTATAAATTGGCGGCAAAACATGACACAGCTACACAAATGTGTTTAAAAGACTGGGGGACCACCCGATGAACTTTTGTACTTAGGGCTAATATAAGCATTTTGTCTAAAGTATTCGGGATTGATCCTGGAGTACATAAACATACACACGGATTTCAGGAAAACTGAACATATTTGATTAGGACTTTACAAAAAAGACAATACGAAACGTTCACAAATTCGGTTAGTTAAGAGGTGTATTTCTATCGATGACAAAATGAAAAACAAAGATAACGTATTGGTGTGTCGGTTACTTTGCATCATATGGGGTAGATAGGCTTTGTTAGTTAATAGTACTTGATATCTGACAAGTTTATGGTGTTAATGAGTTCTATTAGTATTATTATTCTCGAAAACGTCGTCATCTTTATTTTATATATTGCCTGAGCATATATTATTTGATTTGTATATTCATCAACCAGGTAGTTTCGACAAATCTCATAAAAAAGCTGATATATTTCGCTGGTACCCGAGGTCCCAATTTTGGGGAAGCCGCTATAGTAAAGTTTGGGGAAACGGCACCAAAACCCCAATATTTCCCCGAAATTCCCTTTTAATTTTGATGAAGGTCATTTGATTTTGAGAGTTTCCTCAAAATACTCCCAAATTTCCCCAGATTTGGGAGATTGGGTAAGTTCACTAGTCAGGTCAGAGTTAACACTTCTCACAACTCAACAAAGAAATGCACAAAGCCCTAATAATTATATGGAAGAATAAATACCTTCAACCCACCACAACTTATATATACTAGCATAAAGCTATAGTAAAAAAGGTCCTATCGTCCCGAATCTATTCACGACAAACTTAAAGTCATTTGTTTTACATGAAACACTGATATAGATTTGTGTAAATTATTCATAATAGAATGACCAGAATTTCCATGAATCCATAAATGTAACTAACCCCATCCTCAAACCCAGCCAAGGTCATCAGAGAAACGTAATATTTCAAAATGTTTCAAAACCTGAATCACCTTCAAATTAGTCTGGTGGAATTCGCGAACTGCATATACACTCAGATATGTTCTGGAGTTGCAAAAGGGTGATCTTTATTGTGGGAAAGTGTGATTTTTTGTCATATTTCATCCAGAAAATATGAAGGGAACTAATTAGTTAATAACGGAAGTGATGAAGGAATAATCTCTAGTATCTACAGGACAAAGTAAACATCCATGATTCGTTTTAAAAGCCCAGGAGAGGGTGAATTTACTATTGCTTCTGGTAAGGAGTTACTCACTTTCGCGACTCTAACCGCGAAAATAGATCGCGTGGATCCTTGTACCGGTCTGTTCGTATCCCATCCAATATGTCTTTTAGTAGACGGAATCTTATTTACGCACCAGAAGTTGCTTCAAGTAATTCCGGAGTCAGGCTTTCTAATGTTCTAAAAATAAATTTTAATGCTTAGTATTTTTTATTGTGTGTAATTACTAATGGATTAATACTTCGATTCCTCCCAGTGATTGCGTATGTGATACTGGAATACCAAAGTAGTTTGGCGTTAGCAAAAGTTCCTTGATATATATCACTGCGTTTCTTGGTATTTAAAAGAAGAAGAACTTCAGTCCTAGGTAGGTCCTCTTAGAGAGTCAGTTTACCATCTAAGTGAACTATTTCTCTAGAGAAATGTTTTTAGTATGTCAGCCGCTAAAATTTGAACCGAAAAGTTGTTGACGAACAATTTGGACTTGTTAAGTCTTAAAATCTTGTGGATTAGGTAGTCACATAGTTCAAAGTCGACAATATTAAATTAGATCAACTATTCCAGCAGCTAAGATAATCGCACTAACATCTATCTGAGATCTAAGCTCAATAAAGATGGCACGTGTCTAAACTGGTTGTGAAAATTTGTTAGCGAACGACAAGAAAATAGTTCATCTCTTCTGATTTAGCAGTTCTATAATAATAAACAACGTCATCAAAGGACTGAGACATTACAGTCTATGAATCTAAATAAATAAGTTTCATTCTTCCAATTCACATGGCTGCGATACTGTTATACAATTTAGTCGTGTTCGGCTTCGACATCTGTCTACACTTCCAGGAGTAGAGCAGTAAATGAGTAAAATAAAGCTCACAAAGACTTTGTGTGCGTCACAGAACGGTTCCTCCTTTGTGCCTTGGAACTACTATCTTCTTACTCAATTGACCGACTATATAGGTAACAACAGTGACATGAATCAGCTTCTATGCTCTCATCTTCGGTCACGTGACCCCTAACTACCCCATATCTTCGTACTGTACTCCATAATGTATTCTACAGATTCCAACGATGTTTTAGCTTAGCCATATAGACTGACTCTCACATTTTCAGTATGTTCACATAACGCTCTGCATCATCGTGACATTCACACATCTTAGTTACACTTCCTCAGCATCCACTAGCTACTTTTGATGTTTTACCTTCCTTTTCACTTAATAACTGTTTTACATAGCTTTTTTATCACATTCGAGTCAAGAAAATTTAGTGAAAATTTCGTTAACAATAATCGTTTACGATAAATCAAATGAGAACGACTATGCACACGAACAGTACTCATTTCTTGCTTGTATTTTCCGGACAACTGGATGTAGTCATGTCCGACACAGGTGAATGTCGAGGTAGTAACCTTTAACGAACAAGACACAGAGACACTGCTCAGATAATAAGGTCAGGCTAATCGGCCACACTCTATCTGATCTGATACAATCTAACAGAAAAAACAAGAAACATACAAACAGTATAACTCAAAAATACTTCACAGAGATATCGCCATTGGCTTTTCCGTATTCAATAGCATTACAAAAATAGTATTCTTACTAGAGCTTACGTAATACTAAGTCTCATCAAATGATATGAAATCGTATGAACGTCTAAACTTGCTACCGTTAAGTTCAGGCAAGAAAATTAAAATATATAACGAATCAATATAGTGAAAATTCCCAATTTGCCATTTGGTAAATAAAGAACGAACGAATTGAGCGAAGAAATTTCTTTTCAATTAGTTTTTCATCATGGCTCTACACTAATATATATACGTTTTACAATAATAATATAATACTCATCGAGTGGATACGTTACGTAATAATTACATAATGACATTTAAATTAACATTGATTAATTGGAAGAAAGAGGATTATTAATATTCAAAGTGATCAAGAAGTTGCTACGTTGCGTAATGTACGAAACAAAGAAGGAACAGAATTTTAACGGATGGTCAATAGGATGGTAGTTACGTAAGAATCAAGAGATGAATGTTGAAAAATTATTAAGTTCAAAAGCAACAGAAATAAAATTACAAAAGTTAAAAAAATTAAAAAATAGGAAGAAGTATGAAAAATAGTTCTTTTGAAGGAAATCTTAAACTGATGGCCAGGGCAGGGAAAGTGGTTGTACGAATCTCTTTTGAATGCAAAAGTCAGGTTTGTGAACATGGATTGCGATGGCTTCCGCAATACGCAAGAGGCGCACTCGTAAACCATGTGGCAAATTAGATGGGATATTGTAGATAACCTTAAAAGCTTTATTCAATTCGACTTGATGACCTGTGCCAATCAAGTGAGAGAGAATAGAACTTTTAATCACTTTTACCTGTCCTTTGTTTAACCACGACGGATGATGTTCAGTAATGCGATGACGGACTTGCCAAATTGTACGCCCAATATAACTGGCTCCACAGGAGCAGTTGAAACGATAGATACACATAGATTTGGCGAATTCAGGCAGTCTGTCTTTGTTGGCAGTTCTTATCTTGGGACAGTTGTAAAAGATTGCGTTTAATCTGGCAGCATTAAATGTTTTTTTTACGGCTCTTCTTAGTTTCTGAGTCAAGGTTTCTTCAATGGTTTCATTTATGAATTGTAGTTTTATGAATAGTACCTTCTTATGGACGGTGGGTATCTTTGTCCTTGTTTTCTTCTCCATCATATGTTTGTCGATGAATTTCATGGGATACCCATTCATGCTAAGTAGGTTCCGAATATTATTCAATTCTTCTTCGATGGTGTCTTCAGAGCAAATCATTCTAGCCCGATGTGTCAAGATTTTAATCATGTTCCTTTTGTATCTGATTGGAACTGCACTATAGAAATGAGTGTATTGTCCTGCTACAGATTTTCTGTGTACCCCTCTTTTTAAAGTTCCGTCTGCTCTTCTTTTTAGTTGGACATCTAGAAATGATATGCTGTCGTTCTGTTGTTCATCAATTTACGTATCTGTAATAACTTGCACGATAGTTCTACCATACATCTTAATTCCGTAAATTTCGATATTTACCATCCTGTTAAACTTGACAGTTTTTGGCAAACAAACAGTTTCGCATCTTTGCTTGTTGGGGGGGTCTATTATAGCAACTCACGTGCAATTGAGTTTGTTCACATTTAATTCGACCAAGTCATTTTGTTAACTTATTAACGAACAGAGTCACCCGTGCAACAACAACTTATCTATGTTATTGTATCTTTATTATTGTTGCGAATGTATGAACATGTATGCTTGAGCATTACTTACTGCCTTACTATTAGCCGCTCAATTGATTCGATGATTCATTCATTTCACTATGTATATATGTGTCCATCTTATTCGTGTTCATTGCGCTCGCTTACTCGTACTCGTATTCGTTAACTCACTCGCTCGCTCGCTTGCCTGTTTGCTTTTCTGCACAACTTTTTCATGTTTGCTTAACGCACCTGTAATCTTGGATATCTATATGTGGTCCCATAATAAATGTTATCAACACTTTTTGTCCTCCTTCTAATTGATATACCGTTGGGGCGTTATCTAGTGACGGTTATCAAGACGAACTGTACACGAAATTTAAGGATTATACTGAATACCGACCACTACATATGCCATTTTTAACGATTTTTCGTGCGTTCACTATCTTTAATCTTCTCTAAGTGTTACATGTTGGATGTAAATCTTCTAGGCAATTATATTTTCCGCTTCATAGATCATGTGGTTGCGAACGAACGTCACTTTGATGCTTCTGTTCAGCTGTGACGTATTTAGTGTGCCAAGGTTAGTAACGAGGCTCCAACATATATTCCTTAGTCGTAGTGAACGTCGAATATCCAGGTGCTTTTCTTCTTTGGTGTTGCTCGGGGAATAAATTTTTGAATCACTTGGTTGTATAACTGCCGGAAGTGAGTTCTTGTCTCTACTATAAGTGCTCTGGAGTCAACTTCCAAGTAGAAATTGTCAAGTTGATTGCTTTCTTGTCTACCTTCGTACTTTAGGACGATAGTAATCAACTTGGGTACGAAAATTGCATGTTCACTACCCCCTAAAGGTGGAAGGTATTTAGTATCATTATTATTTATGGCTATATTCAATATCGCATCTTTCAAAATGAAATATATTTCTGAAATGGCAAGTACACGCCATTTTTACAGGCATGATCTATAAATTACAACATTTATTGTTTCACAGTACGCATGTTAAATAAATATATTCCAAGAAAGTGAATATCAGTTCAGTCTTTCAGATATACTGAGCAATCTTTAAAATATTCTTCAAAGTGGCGTCGCATCCACTTCACACACCAGATTCAATCTCGGCATAATTGTGTTAGGATTTCGGTCGCGCTAAGCATTTATGCAATGCAACTTTTTAAGATTGTAGTTGTTACAAAGTAGACTTGTAGAGCGCTTGGTGTGAACTATGACACTGAGAAAATACGTACGTCTAGTTTGTTCCAGATGTCAGAAGTTTTATAGCTGTGCTCTCAGAGCATGATTCTGAAAAAAAGAGAGAAACCGAGGAGCAACAAGGTACTTGGATATGAAAGATAAACAGTACTTAACATTTTGTAGTGGAACAAACAGAGGTATGTTAAATGATTAGAATAAAATCACACTGGCTCTTGTAGCTAAAGTGAAATGTGGTCAGAGGCTCTACATGAGAAAATGCAGTAATAAAGAACAATGAATTATGGTATTTGCCAAAGTGGAGTAAGTTCAAATGAAGGAAGGGAAGCCAGGGTTGGAATAAGGAAGGCTGTTTATTAGAACAGAAAGTGCATATAGAGAGTAAAGTGTTAAGAAGACTAATAACTATGTCTTTTATTGTCTGATTTTTTCCTTTCTTTCCGTCCGGCGCCCGCCACACAGTCTTAATGTAAAAGTCCGAGTTAGCATGTTATAGATTGTCTTAGTAGAATAGCATGAAATTGGAAAAAGATTTTACAAACTTATCAGGCAGTTACAAGTTATTGACTGTGGGTAAGGCATTGATGTAATGCTTTAGTCGATTATAGTACAAATTATGGTTTGCCAGAGTATAGGCTTCAAAAAGGGTATATTTTAGGACAGTTGTTTGCTAAAGTAGGCAGTAAAGTGTAGAAATATGGGTCATAGGTACGGTAACGAGTGGCGAAATAATACTAGTGTCAAGTCAACATTAGTGTACTGGAGAGTAAAAAGCTGATAAGTAATAGATAAGAAGGAACTCACATTAACTCACATTAACCAGCTGATGGGTAACAGGCTCCAAAGATGCAACACCACTGGTAGTAGGCAGTAGATTGTGGGGTTCTCTTGACTTTTTGGGGTAGTAGTGAGCGTCTTTTAGCGAACGGGAATCGATAAGTTCAGTGAGTTACCTGTCTACTTGAAGTTAAAAATTAGGGAGGAAGAGTTATCTAATACGACTACAAAGTAGGAATATAAGGCGATTTGGTCTATACATGTGGAGATACTATAATGTCTGAGTGGGACGCAGATGTGTTCGTTTGTGCTAGATCTGTGCAAGTGAGGACTTGATCAATAAGTCTTACAAACGTATGTAATTAATCTGCCATGAGTATTTCAGATGGTAGACTGTTCCATATTATTGCATACTTGATGAGGAGGAAGGTTTCCCGAGTTTTTGATCCGTATTTCTCAACTTTTACAGTGGATACTTGATTCCGAAGTTCGTATTCATGTGAATCTCGGGCAAGAACTATATTACATGTTGAATAAATAGGGTTTTTGAGTAGTTTGAATTAGAGAATCAAATTAGACCTAAGCCTTCTTTTTCAAAGGGGTTCTATGCCTAAGATTTGGCATCGAGAACTGTAGTCAGTGACTGAGTCAGTCATAAGTATTTTGCGGGTGAAATCTCATTGTATTCCTTCCACCCTTGGTATATCAGATAGGCCTAGTTTGGAAAATAAGAACGAGCAATATTCAACGATAGGTCTTACACAGACTTTATAAAGAAGGGTTTTAGGTTCGTTTTGATAGAAAATACGGAGAATGAAGCCAACTTATTTCCGCATTTTAGGTGCATTGACTGGGATGTGTTCAGAGAAATGAAGACCGTGTGGGTAATGTACCCCTGGGTCAGTTACTGATGCCAGTCTGGGCAGTGTGTTGTTAAGTGCTAGTTCTATTTTACGAGGTGGTTCACCAATACCTAGCCAGCCGCATTTCTCTTTGTTGAGCTCTAACCTCCAGCGTTTGAACCAGTTGTTTAACATGTTGAGTTCATTTTGGATTGTTCGCATAATACTTTGTACATCGTAAATGTCAGTTTTATAGATGACTTTTAAGTCATTAACGTAGATGTAGGTTTTACCTGTGCTAAAGCACTTGTATATATCGTTGATGTTGATTGTAAAGAACAATGGACCCAAGGCACTACCCTGCACAACACCACTGGTTATTGGCCGTGGTGTAAATGTTTTAGAGTTAATCTTGGTTATTTGGTATCTCTGTGAGAAAAGACTTGATCCATTGCAATAGGGAGTTTGTAATTCCAACTGACTGAAGTCTGTTGATTATTAGGTTATCAAATGATTTCTTAATATCGAAATATAGTTTGATCACTAGTTCCTTTTGATCACGTATGTGAGTAACCTCGTTAAGGAAGTCTATCTATTAGGACCTTGTCCTAATGAAGCAGTGTTGTGACGGGTCTAATAGATCTTCCTTAGGTAGGTGATCAGATACTTGATTTTGTACCGCTTTTTCCATCATGCGTGATATAACTGGGGTGATATTTATAGGTCTGTAGTTTACGACCAGGTTTCTCGAACCTTCCAGGTTTCGGGATATGTACCTGTCTCTAAAGGTAATGTGTTTATTTTGAGTAATAGCCTCTGTATGTCCGGCCCTGACATTTTAAAAAAGGACTGATGGGATGTCATAGACACTAGAACTCGTATTCAGCCTAAGGGTTTTGATGTCGGTATGTATACTCCTAATATCAAAGTTTACGGTGCTAAGATAATTTTTGCTGACGCAATTTATGTTAATATCTGGGGTATGAGATGTGTTCCCGTTGTGGGAAAACCATTCATTTAACAGTTCACATGTGACGTCTAGTCATAATATGTCACACTATGGTTCAATAAGGAGTGAATGTTTGATCTGCGTTCTTTATTATGCAATTTGCAAGGAGACGAAATGCAGCATTGAGTGCAGTACGTTCTTCTGTCTGTTTATGTTTGTTGTGTTGACATTGCGCCCCTTAAACTATAGAGTATACCTAGTGCAGGGCACCGAATTCCTTTGATATATAATGCGTTTTTTTAGTTTTCGCAGCTTAGACTTAGTCTTTTGGTTGATATAGGGAGCAGTTGATTTAAAATCAGTTTTAGATGGAATGGTAGTGACTAGTGAAAATTTGGTGGTAGTACTGAATATTCCTAATGTTACTAAGAAGTTATCACTGGTAAAGAACCTGCGCCAGTCAAAATGCTTTATCAGAAATCGAAAGATTTCCTAGTCAGTGTTTGCATAGTCCCTATACTGGAAACGCGTATTTAATGTCTTTAATTTGTTGCACTTGGCAAGAATCGGAAGAGTGCAGAGGACTATTTTATGATCGCTTTTGTGAATCGTTTCGCCAACCACAATCGATGTTTGTGTGATATTGTGACAGAATATCAGGTCAACAATGCTGTCATTTCGTGTAGGCAAGTGTACATGTTGCTGCCAATAGTTTATGTCTAAGGACCTAAGTATGCTTTTATAGCATAATGGGCCAGAATATGTCATCCAGTTGATGGTGGGAAGTTTAAATCACCACAAACAATTTTGTAGGCAAAATCAAGTGAGGTAGCCTTAGCAAAAGACTCAGTTATAGTAGTGTTAAATGAACTGGGCGTATTAGGGGCTCGATATACACATCCGACTATTTTACATTCATGGGTGTGTACAGTAAGACATATCAAATCTGGTAGTTTGCTGAGGGTATGGTCGCTATATATTTCGCCCTCATATTTTTTTAAAACATATAAAAGACAACCACCACCCTTCTTGGTGACTCGACCACAGCGGAAGAGCTCATATGTGTCTATTTGGAGGTACGAGTCTGCAATATCGGAGGACAACCAACTTTGAGTTATCAAAGCAAGTGAAGGCTTTTTTTAAAGTAACAGAGTGCTTAGGTGTGACATCTTATTTTGTAGCAAAAGTGTCAGATACTGTGAGTGTTTGTCTAGTAGAAGGGCGTGATGTAAAACCAGTGGATTGTCTGTTTCGTCATAAGAAGTGGGAGCATTGGTTCCATATTCATGTTCGTTTAGTTTCATACCAATATGGTTAATGGGAGAAAGGTAATCGGAATTTAGTTTGATGAAAGAAGTTTGTTTGGGAGTGTCAGGTAGAATCTAATGAATTGGATGGATAAGTAGTGTATTCGGGTAGTGATCAGGAGGTTAGGTCAAGGATCTCTTAAGACTAGAGACAGTTATGGATGGTGAGAAAGATGTTTCACTCCCTATCAGGTCGGAGTATACAGAAGATGGTCTCAGAATAGTGTGATTGTCTCACTCAACACTTGGAAACCCCATAGCAGCACTGTTGAGGAGGGGAGGTAAAAGATAATACATACGTAAGTTTAGCTCTAACACAAACCTAAGGGGTAATACCAAGAAACTCGAAACACGACTCAGCAGAACGAACTGTAGACAAACCTTTTGCTCCTTAAGAGTAATAAAATGCTGGAATTCTCCGCCGGCTGAGCTAGTCTAAGTGACTTCCCAGGAGTTCTTTAAGAGGCAACTCCACTTATTCTTAATAACTAAAGATACATTTTACTATGACTTACCAATTTATTTTTCCTCTTTTATCATTAATATATCTATGTTCCTGTCGGGAGGTATTGGTGATCCACTGCTACTAGACACGGAAGCCCGTTAAGCGAAAGCTTCTACTATTCCGTCAACAATCATTTAAACCATTTTGAGCCCACCTTGAACAAAGACACTCAAGGTCGTGCGGAAGATTTGACTTCGACTTCCTCCGTGTCGATGGAGTACCTACAGAAATATATGGAAGGTTTGTGTTCATTTTTGACCATTTCTCCGTATGTAGTGGATTTACCGATTATGTGACTTTGTGTCTCAGTATCAACCAAGACTAACTGCTTATTACATGACCGTTCAAAACTTTATGATGATGAACAACTTAAGTCACTGGCTCTGATGACAGTATTTTAAACACTCCGGGGCACCCCATTAAATGCTTACTTCAGTCCAGTCCCAACACGAAATTCAGGGGCAATAACCAAAATTTGGTATCACAACATAATAGACAGACTATGGGTAGACCTCTCTCTTATGAGTAGTCAAATCCTGGGATTCGTTACCAGATATGGTGGTTCAAGCGTCTACACAGGTGCCCTTAAAGAATAAGCTGGTATACTTCCAAGGACTTAGGGCAGTATCCCATCACAGTTTACTAGTATTTCTCTTTTGCTTGCTAGATATACTTAGGTTCCTACCTAGAAGCACCGGCGATTCCCTTCTTGTAGATATGGAGATACGTTAGGCAAAAGGGCGAGACTCTAATTTAAGGACGACCTTTGAACGAATCTTAAGTGACCTTGACAATTGTTAGCCAATCAGAAGAAAGTTAGTATTAAGTAAAAATATATTATATGAAAGTAATGAATTACAATGGATATTCTTCTTTTACATGATTTAAAAACTTGTTAAGGTTTGATTAAGGTTCAGAGGTTCTGAATTCACAATGCATATGGAATAGAAACTCGTCTATTGGGTTAGAGTTAGGTTTACGTGTAAGGTTAGGGTTAGGGTTAGTTGAGGGTTAAGGTTTAGGTTTAGGTGAGGGTTTAGGGTTAAGGGTTAGGGTTAGGTGAGGGTTAATGTTAGGGTTAGGATGCTAACATACGAGTTTTTAAATCATGTTAAAGAAGAATATCCACTGTAATTTATTACTTTCTTTTAATATATTTTTACTTTATGCTGTCTTCTGATTGACTAATAACTGAAATTGCTCAAACGCTTCTGATTGGCTCGTCCCTAAATTAAAGTCTCGCCGTCCTATCTGTTGTAACCTCTCATTAATCACCTACTCTCTAAAATCCGCTGTGAACCGATCGTATGTTAGCATCGCGTGTTGAACTTGGCGCCGTGACCTTGAAATTGCTCAAACGCTTCTGATTGGCTCGTCCCTACATTAGAGTCTCGCCCTAAAGTTTGCTGCCGAATGAATTAGTAAACCGAGAAAATCGTGCAACTATCGAAATACAGTTGCCGTTCTCGATCATAGCTATAAAACAGAATATATATAAGTATTTCTTGAAAAGGGTATCTCAGGTCGATACTTCATGCGACCTCATAGCTCTCGAAAGATTGTTAAGGCTCAATCGTTTTAGTCACTTTTATGTGTTATTGACCGAAATTTTCGTATATTATAGTTAGGCTAACAAGGAAGGGGGCAGAAAGACGTACATCCATATGTTGGGCATGCGTAATACGTAGTTCAATCATATCAGTCGATGAAGATTTACAACCTCATCGACTGGTTTGCCATAATTCCATAATAACCTGCGTCTAACCTCACTATGACTTACCCGTTGATCCCAGCAGATGTGAGCAATATTTCTAAGACATCAGTGATCAAATACTAGGAACTTACGAGTATCTTCTACTCCTAAAGGCCACGTTTCACAGACACACAGTAGAACAGAACGAACTACTACTCAGTATACTCGTCCCTTAATTGATAGACGGATATCTCGACTTCGCCATAGGTGACGTAATTTTGCAAAAGTTAAAAGAGGATTTTGAGTCCGTGCAGAGATTTCTTCAGACACCAACCTATCAGGGCTGATCAGACTTCCAAGATAAATGAGGTTGTCAACGCGTTCGACTACTGCACTCCCTGTCCTCAGTTCAGGTGTTGACACAGGCCAGTCGTGAAGTAACACCTTGCATTTAGAGGGTGAGAAACGCATCCCAAACATTCTGGTATTGTTGCTCAGTGCTATCAAGAGGCTGAATTTTGTCAGTGTCTTCACCAAAGAGGACTATATCTTCTGTGTATTCTAAGTCAATAAGTAGACCTCCTGGTAGGAGATCAATGCCTGAAAATCCAGACGACGTGGACGTTATTTCCAGCAGTAGGTCTTTGATGAAATTAAACAGAAATGGAGATGGTGGATAGCCTTGACGGACATCACTTAAGGTTGCAAAGCAGATGACAGTTCGCTGTAAGCTTTGACTCGACTAGTATTCGAGTTAAGTGCACTCAAAATGTTCATGTGCATCTGAGGTACACCTTTCAATGAAAGACACTGCCACAGTACATCTCAGTCTACAGAGTCAAATGCTGCTTTTCTGTTAAGAAAAACTATCATTGTCGCACGCCGATAAGCATACCTGTGTTCTAGAACCTGACGGATGGTGAATATGTGGATGATGCTGCCACAATCAAGTCTAAATCCAGCATGATTTTCTCGTGTTTGCAGTTCACCAGTCTCAATTAGGTAGTCAGTCAGTCAGCTACAACGTAGGACCAGGCACATATATGCATCGGCCCAAGTTGCCATACCTCATTAGCACAACAAGATGAACACCGGATTCATACAAGTAGTTAATTCAGAGGTGGTAATATATAAAAGAAAGATTGCAATAAGGATATAGTACAGGAGGAAAGAATTAGTTCGTAGAAAGAAAGATTTGAAGCGATTTTAATCTTTTACTTTAAGGGAAGACAGAGAGTGTATACACCGACGCCATTGTGATCGATTTTGAGCCATGTCACCAAGAGTCTCCAGCCATTGGTTACGATAGTCACGCGGACCCCAACCAAGTAGTCTGCATCTACCAACATGGCTCAGACTAGAAGTCAGTGACTTCAAGCACTGATGCCACGTTTTGGTTTGGCCGCCCCTAACTTTCTTCCAACCATCTCCAATACCGGATAGCATTGCACGTCGTGGTAATCGGTGTTCGGGCATATGTAACACGTGGCCCAACCATCTCAGTCGATGAAGATTCACAACCTCAACTGTACCAGTGGTTATGCATTTAATGAGCAAAGTTCGAGCAACTGGCCTTCGCTTTGTCCTTATCTCTTGAATGAGGTGTGACTACCTCTATAGTTGGACATCCTCTTATGTTGTTTGACGGCAACTCGTGCAAGATGGGACTTGAACTGTATTCGATATCTAGGCATTATACACTTATTTTCATCCGGTGTTTAGTATGATTTTAATCCTACACTTCAAAGAATAACAGGGAAACTCCATTATTCCCTTTTTGTTGCATTGAATGGAAATGCATTTAAAGTTCATTAAGTAACGTAACGAAAATGTGTTGAAAGTTAAACTTTCATTCACTTTAATTCGATATTGGTTTCCTTCATAAGTTATATTCCCGAGAAGTTGACATACTTTATACAGTATTTTATTAACTGGTGTATTTAGCCTTATAACATTTTTTTTGAATGGCTGTTTATGTTACCTAGCTTCTCAAAGTGACATAGATGGTGCAGGGTTCAAATCTTCCACTCTGGTGGTCGAAAATCCAGTTCATTAGTGTAGTACGGTTACTGCTAACCAAACCACTGCAACTTTCTGATTCTTTTCAATATGTTACACAAACATTCAGGGGCTTCTTGCTCAGGACTTCGATAAAGTAGGAATAACCCCATCGTTCTATTTCAGCTGAGGTCGTAGTAGTCCACACGATTCATTTATATGTACCGCCGGCCTAACAGCTCATGTAACCAGCCGTTTTCACATTATTTATTTCAGTTCATTATTTATTCAAAGCGATAAATTCATTGTCTGTGCGCAACTGTCGCTAATCTCCCTCCTCTCTCGTTTCGGCAACCTCAATTTTTTCTAAGCTGACTCTGCCACCGAGGTTACCTCACTTTTTCATAGATTACTGGCGTCATTATAGCAGATTTTCAGTTCTGTTTAACATCTCTGGTACGGTTACAGTTATCTGAAAATGATACGATTTCGAACAGTGTATACATAAAGACCCTTGGGAGTAGGATTTTCCCATTGAACTATCGCATTTTGCCTTAAATTCCAGTCACTTGTTAATACGCAACGTAGAACCTGACATATATACATCGGTTCAAGTTGCTAGCTATTCAGGTTGTTTTTATTATCATCCAGCCAATAACTGTTAATCAATGTAATAAGTCAGTAGGTTCAGTTTCGTTAGTTGTTACTCGGTCACATCATATTCTGCATTACTAATAGACCACCTTTCTTTCATTTTATCATCAAAAATTTAATAATTTTCAGCTTGTTCAAGCTCTTATTGATTTTCTGATGAGATTCAACGTTAAACAATACTTTTGAGATATGTATTTGAACTTAATGTCTTTCTGTTATTAATAGTTATTCCCTTTACAAATGTTTATTTAGATTTAGAACACTTACCACCTCATTTGCGACAAGAATTTGAAATTATGCGTGATCTTGATCAAAAAGTCCAGGATATCATTCGTCAAACACAACAACGCACAACCTATCTATTTGAACATGCATATGAAATGTCCAAAGAGGAACGCAAAGCACAAATTGAACAAATACAAAGTTTATTTAAAAAAGGCAAAGAAATTAGTAACGATAAGGTGTCCAGAGCTGAAAGTGCTTATGAACTAGTTGACAAACAAATACGTCGACTGGATGCAGATATGTTTGAATTCAAAAAGGCATTAGGTACGTGTGAAGTTTTGACCGTATTATGATGTTAGCTGAAAAAGAGTCTAAGAAAGTGAAAAAATCTCGAACAAAACAAGAACAAGAGCCGGTTATTTCTCCTAAGTGAGTCTTTACTTAGTACTTGATCTCGTTTGTTGCGTCATTTATGTTTATTTAAAGCCAAGATTTTAATGTTTGTCTATTGAAACCTATGGAATCCACTCAGTAATATATACTTAATAATATAAGATGTTACAATTTATGTTGTATCTTAAATTGGAATAAACCATTCAAACCTCTGAAGACTGTAAATGAATGCAGACTAATATGCTAAGCTGTCAACTGGACTTATTTCGGAGTTGATGATGCTACTATCGTAGCTAAATAAAACAAGTGAAGTGAAACTCTACTCATTAGGGAATCAACGTTTTGGATTACTTACTACCGAATTGGCATTCTTAGATTTATATCAAGTGATCATTTTGTAAGTTTTCACTAAGATTTTATTTTGGGCTTGACGAGTTCTTTGGCGATATTTCTAAACGTCCTGGAAAATACCCCTTTAGAAAGATAAATCTGTTCAAATTACTGTATTTTTAATTCATGACATATCGTAGATCGCATGTTTAAGCTCAAATACTCCATTAAAGTTTGGATAATTGAGTAATATTGTGTTTTCACATCCTAACGATTGGACCTAAAATGGGTACTAGATTAACCGTATTTATTTTCGTCATTAATATTCTTTATGCACACAAGTTTTAAATTGAATACTGTTTGGATCATCTGACCCCCTCAAACGAAAGATTTTGTTAGGGGACCACTCCTTGAGCCTTTGACCTAAGGGTTCGACCCACGAAGTAGCGGGGCAACGTCAAATACAGTGCCATGGTAGCTGGTGACTAAAATGACTTCGTGTCCTATTTCAAAATTCCAAAACTTGTGTACACCATTGGTTTACAATCAGGGTTTCTGTTATATCTTATATATCGGGACTTAACAGTTTACTACTCCCCTAAGTGGGCCCTGAATATCCACTTGCCCAGTTTGTGCTCGGAACATCCACTTTTCATCCTCTTGCTTTCGTTAAAACCGCTACGCTCAGGACTAAGGATTTCATAAAGTCATTTCAGGAACGAGAGCATTCTCTATACCCTTGATCATCTCAGGACATTCAGAGGAACTATCACTATCAATAATAATAGTCTTTGAGTTATCTAATTTTTCGCCAAATTGTTTGTAAGTTCCGTAGCCTGGCAGTGAGTTCATACACTTGGCCATGTGAGAGTATTTCGAGGGGGAGAGCTGACTCTCCCCTCCTTCGACCGTACCAGGGCATTTGGGGGCACTAATGAAAATGTGTTCGACTTTTTGTAACTTTCTCTGAGTTATCATGTTTCGTTTCTTCATATTTGTTTTTAATCTAGAATCCCAGCTACTGCTGCATTGGCATTGGCATTGACGAATAATCCTAGAGAAGTATTAGATATGCCAGTTGATCCAAATGAACCTACCTATTGTATATGTCAACAAGTATCCTATGGCGAAATGGTTGCGTGTGATAATCGTGATTGTGCAATTGAATGGTTCCATTTCGAGTGTGTTGGTTTAGTGAATAAACCACGTGGACAATGGTATTGTCCTCAGTGTATAGCTCAAGGATTTCCTTTGAAAAAAGATGACTAGTAAAGCCATTACAGACAATTTTAATTGTCTGACTTCTTTGTTCTTGTATTTTACGATGCTTGTTGTATCTCATCAACAATATCTTCCTCTTTTATTTCTTTTCGCATCATGTAATTTGCACTGTGTAAATAGATGAATATTCCAGCGTGTCATTTTTCTCCTGTATATAGATATACTTGTTAATACTTCATCATTTGCATACTTCCATGTGAATATTTGGTTGTTCAGCATGTCAACACCCACTAGAAAGACTAAAAAGCGACACTCCAGCATAAATGCTCCATTCAAATCTCCATTAAAAAGGATCAATGAAAGTAACAGTTTCACCGATCCTACTATTAACAATCAAAACAATGAAATTAATGAACAACCAGATGTTATTGTAAGTTATTTCCTGTTGTATTTTTTATTTTGTGCGATCTAACCATTTTTCTACTACTTATTAGTAGTAAACTTTGAATTTGTAATAAATATATTTTTGTTATATCCCAATGAGTAGTGGCTTGATGTAAGCCACTTCTTCAGAGTAAGTGACTTTCACGAAAGGTCAGAGATACAATTTCTCTACCCATTGGGGCATAACAAAAATAGATTTCTCGAGCCGACCTTTTCTAACCCCACACTTCATTGTGGGAAGGCAGCATAACTGTTGTGCTGGTTGTCTGAATGAAACACCTTACTGCCGTCACACCTCTGTGCAGTCAGCAGTACGACTTCGCCCTTGAACCTTGAGTTTGTTGCTTTTAGTTTTACTACCATCCAACCGACCTGTCTGGCGTAGTAGAACCTTGAGGAACGGTTGTTCCAGCCAGTATAGCTCGATTGGTTCATCACGATGGAAAAGCTCGACCACCACGTCAAGATGGCAGCATCTGCTGCGATCAACGGGTAAGCCATAGTGAGGTTAGATGCCGGGTATTAAGGAATGATGGCAAACCAGTCGATGAGGTTGTAAACCTTCATCGACTGATATGGTTGGACTACGTATTACACATGCCCAACCACTGATTACCACGACGCGCAATGCTGACTGATCTTGGACACGGTTGGAATTAAGTTAGAGACGGCCAATTTAGGCATCAGTTTATATAGTCACTAACTTCTAGTCTGTTTTAATATTTATTTAAACACATGAACATCGGTACAGGGAGGCATCCATTGGAGACTTACTTACTTACTTACTTACGCCTGTTACTCCTCGTGAAGGAGCATAGGCCGCTCACCAGCATTCTCCATCCAACACTGTCCTGGGCAATCCTTTCTAGCTCCGTCCAGTTGTAATTCATCGTTTTCATATCTGCTTCTATTATCCGACGCAATGTGTTCTTTGGCCTTCCTCTTTTTCGCTTCCCTTCAGGATTCCAAGTTAGGGCTTGCCTCGTGATGCAGTTTGACGATTTGCGTAATGTATGTCCTATCCATTTCCATCGTCTTTTCCTAATTTCTTCTTCAGCTGGAAGTTGGTTTGTTCTCTCCCACAGAAGGCTATTGCTGATGGTATCCGGCCAATGGATGTTGAGTATCTTGCGTAGACAGTTATTTATAAATACTTGTACTTTTTTGATTGTGGTTGTTGTAGTTCTCCAAGTTTCAGCTCCATACAGTAGAACTGCCTTGACGTTCGTATTGAAGATTCTCACTTTGATATTGGTTGAAAGTTGTTTTGAGTTCCATATGTTCTTCAATTGTAGGAAAGCGGCCCTTGCTTTGCCGATCCTCGCCTTTACGTTTGCATCGGATCCTCCTTGTTCATCGATGATGCTTCCCAGGTATGTGAAGGACTCTACATCTTCCAGAGTTTCGCCATCAAGTGTGATTGGATTGCTGTTCTCCGCTTTGAATTTGAGGACCTTAGTTTTCCCTTTGTGTATGCTGAGGCCTACTGATGCAGAGACTGCTGCTACACTGGCTGTCTTCATCTGCATCTGTTCGTGTGTACGTGATAGGAGGGCTAGGTCATCTGCGAAGTCCAAATCGTCTAACTGATTCTGAGCTGTCCATTGTATTCCGTGTTTTCCTTCAGATGCTGAGGTCTTCATAATCCAGTCGACCACCAGAAGAAAGAGGAAGGGAGAGAGTAAACAGCCTTGTCTGACTCCGGTCCTTACTTGGAATGCATCTGTCAGCTGTCCTCCATGCACTACTTTGCACTGTAGTCCGTCGTATGAGTTCCGGATAATATTGACAATCTTCTCAGGAACTCCGTAGTGTCGAAGAAGTTTCCATAACGTTCTCCTATTTACACTGTCAAATGTCTTTTCATAATCAATGAAGTTGATGTATAGTGATGAGTTCCTCTCAACTGATTGTTCGACGATGATCCGTAGTGTTGCAATTTGGTCTGTGCACGATCGATCCTTACGGAATCCAGCTTGTTGATCTCGAAGTTGGGCGTCTACTGCATCCTTCATCCGGTTCAGCAACACTCTGTTAAAGACTTTCCCTGGTATTGACAGTAGTGTTATGCCTCTGTAGTTTTCACATTTGCTCAGATCTCCTTTCTTTGGAATCTTGACGAGGTGTCCTTCTTTCCAGTCCATCGGCACTTGTTCCTCCTCCCAAATCTTTTTGAATAGAAGATAAAGCATGCTTGTGGTTGCTTCGATGTCTGATTTCAGTGCTTCAGCTGGTATGTTGTCGGGTCCCGCTGCTTTCCCGTTCTTGATTTGTCTGACGGCCATTCTAATTTCTTCCGTAGTTGGTGGATTGACATCTATAGGAAGATCTATGTGTGCTGCTTCGATGTCCGGTGGATTCATTGGAGCCGGCCTATTCAGGAGTTCCTCGAAGTATTCTACCCATCTGTTACGCTGTTGTTGAATTTCGGTGATTGGCTTGCCTTCTTTGTCTTTGACCGGCCTCTCTGGTTTACTGTATTTCCCTGCTAGTTTCTTCGTTGTATCGTAAAGCTGTTTCATATTTCCTTCTCTAGCAGCTTTTTCTGCCGTCGTTGCTAGTTCTTCCACGTATTTCTTCTTGTCGGCTCTAATGCTCCTCTTCACTTGTTTGTTTGCTTCTATGTATTCAGCTTGTGCTTGGACTTTCTCTGCTCGTGTTCGGCTGTTGTTTATTGCTGCCTTCTTGTTCTTCCTTTCTTTGATCTTGTCCAGTGTTTTTGTAGAGATCCATTCCTTATGATGGTATTTCTTTAGACCGAGAACCTCTTGACATGTTGAAGTTAATGCTTCCTTGATGCCTTTCCAGTTGTCCTCCATAGTAGTTTCTTCTTCTTTCAGTAGATCTTGTAAGGCTTGGAACCTGTTGTTGAGAGCTATCTTGAATTCATTGAGTTTGTCAGTATCTCGAAGGAAGGCTGTATTGAACCTTTGTATTGCTGTTTGTCCAGTTGTCCAGTTCCTTTTTAGCTTCAGTTTTAAATTGGCTACAACTAGGTGGTGATCTGAAGCTACGTCAGCACCTCTCCTGGTTCTCACATCTTCCATTGTCCTTCGGAATTTTTTGTTGATGCAAATATGATCTATTTGGTTCTCTGTAGTGTGGTCCGGTGAGATCCATGTAGCCTTGTGTATACGCTTGTGTGGAAATATTGTGCCTCCTATGACCAATTTGTTGAATGCACATAGATTTGCAAATCTTTCTCCATTTTCGTTTCTTTCTCCCAGTCCATGTCGTCCCATAATATCTTCATATCCAGTGTTGTCTATTCCGACTTTGGCATTTAGATCTCCCATTAGAATAGTTAGGTCCTTCCTTGGGCATTTCTCTATCACTGACTGCAGCCGCTCGTAGAATTGATCTTTGATTTCGTCGTTGCTATCATTGGTGGGTGCATAACATTGGATAATATTCATTAAGATCCCCTCCTTCTTTGTTTTGAATGATGCTTTGATGATTCTGGATCCGTGAGATTCCCATCCTACAAGTGCATTTCGTGCTACTTTGGACAGCATAAGAGCGACTCCCTGAGTGTGTGGAGCATTGTCCTCTTCGTGACCGGAGTATAGCAGCATCTCTCCCGTAGCTAGCCTTTTCTGTCCAGTTTGGGTCCAGTGGGTTTCGCTGATTCCCAGTACTGCTAAGTTGTATCTCCTCATTTCCATTGATATTTGACTGGTCTTCCCGGTTTCCCACATTGTTCGAACGTTCCATGTACCTATAAAAATTTTTGCTCTGGTTGTTAGAAGGGGCATCGGCCTCGTGGCTTCCGAAGGAACTCGGCTTTCACCATGAAGCGTCATAATTCTTCTAAATGTAGACCTTCTAACTCCCAGGGCAGAGTTAAAATGGTTTGGATTATTTTTTCTGGTAAGCGTTTTTTAGCGAGTTAGTTTTCTACGGGATGGGGACGCTAACCCTATGCCCAACCCTCCTCCTTTACCCGGGCTTGGGACCGGCAGCAACCCTATAAGAGCTACAGGCGGAGTTATCCATTGGAGATGCGCCACATAAATCATTCGATTTATTTGAAGGCTGGGATACTGCCCGGGTGACCAAACCGAAGCAGGTGGCTTTCTTAGGGGGCCACACCCCGAACCTTTGACCTAAAGGTCTAATCCACAAGGCAGTGGAGCATCGTGAGGAGATGCAGTCTCATGGTAACTGGTGACGAACAATAGGTTTTTACACCATTTGCTGTCTTAGGATTCTGGAACCCATGCACATCACTGGTTTAGAATCAGGTTGTTCCAACTCCCCCAGGTGGATCCTCCGTACACACCGACCCGGTCAAAGCGCCGGACGCCCGCCTTTCATCCTCTCAACTTTCTAAAATACACCCCCGCAACGAGCAGACAGTGAGTAGTCCTTCCCTGGCAGTGGTTTTGAGCACGTGGCCACTTGAGAGCATTCCGAGAGGGAGAGCTGACTCTCTCCCCACTTTCGATTGTACCAGGGCATTTGGGGGCTTCCTAGTCTGAACCATATTGGTAGATACAGACTATTTGGTTGGGGTACGCGTAACTATCGTATCCAATGGTTAGAGACTCGGAGTGACATAGCTCAGAGTCGATCGCAATGGCGTAGGTGTATACACTCTCTGT